CTACCTGAAATGGACTTTTTGTCAAAAAATTGGATTCCTGGCCCATAGTGTACTGTTAGAATTGTAACAAAATTCGTATTATATCAAAATTAAAAGTCTAGCTATTTCGACATCGAAAATATATATGATAGTACAGTCTTTAAAGTTGGGCCTAGATAACCTCATAAAGGTCTCGGCCCATTTCCGATATTTAGACGGATTTAGTGTCATTTTCCCACCGAAGTAGCATTAACATGACATTCCGAATTCTTGGGGCGTAAATAGCGTATTTTCTAACAAATATTCAACATCGGTCCATGTTTGGACATAGCCTCTATATCAATGTCCCGCCTAATTTTATCTATTTTGCGTGTTATAGCCGCGTTTTCCTGCTAAAGAACTGTAATTTGGTATACCAGGTTCTTGAACGACGAGCAATATTTTTTCTGAAAATGTTCGACATAAGCAAAGACCTGTCTCATTTTTTGGTAGTTTGAGGACCCTACCCGCATCTTCTAACCCATATAGCTGTAATTGAGCATTCCAGGCTCTTGGAGGTTGACACATATTTTTCGGAAATTTTTGAATTGTCTAAAATTTGCTATTACGTATTCCTGGTTAGAAAAAAAACTGCTTCCCAGAAAATGGTAGGGTAGGCCAATGTTTATATCCTCGGCCTTATGGCTAATGAGGGTATATACACTTTGATATCGGAAAAATGCGCCTTATCGAAATGTTGTTACAGACAATTTAGAGTCGATTTGCAAATGTTCGTCCCACTGGCTGGTGCGCACAATAACTTTTGAGGGGATTAACCGATTTCATTCAAACTTTTGCACATTGTAATTATTCTTCCAAATTCGGTCCACTTCACTCTGGTACCTCCCCCACAAAACTATCAAAATTTTACTCACAATTAATTCCCTTCATCATTAATTTGAAATACATTGAAACACACATAAAACAATTTATCATTTGTATAAATGGTTTATTTTATTTTGTCAAAAATGTTTTAATACATCAAAGTTGTTTATTTGTTTAGCATGCTCGCTCATCATTTGTGTCATCGTCATAACTTAAATACTAACAATGAAATAAATATATAAATAATAATAAATAAATAGTTAAATTAAGAATTAAATTAATCAATAAATAAATATGCGACAGAAGGCTAACAATTTCGAAGTATAGTCGTCGATACGATTTTAATAAATAGAATAGAGATGACGTTGTTGTTTCTGTGTGTATTTTCTTTTCTCGATTTAACAGCGATTTAAGTTTACTTAAAATATTTAATGACTATATGAAAATTAAATTATTAAAACCAAATACAATAAATAAATAATAATTATTATTAAAAACATAAAAAGTCTTAATTATTTTAGAGCAATGATTTCTATTCGTTCAATTCTTGCAAAGAGAAACGAAACGAAATTTAAATTCAAACTCTAATTTAAAGAAAAATAAAAACAAAAAATAAGATTTGAACTTTTTAAATATGGCTTAGCACCAGTTTATGTTGTAAAATTGTTGTTGTTATATTTTAATAAGTTAATTTAAAAAGATGTATAAAATTATATCAGTTTCCGTTTTTGTTTTTTTTTTAATAAGTTTATAGACTTAAAATAATACTTGCTTAGAGAGATAGAGAGAGGTGAAACGACTAAAATCAAACATAGAATTAAGAATAGAACTACCACCAAGTTGTTTGCTGCTAAGAAGCGTTTCAGAAGAATACCCATTTTATTTCATTATTATTTTTTATGATTGTTTTAAAGTTATTGATTTTTAATTTATTTTTTAAATATTTTGTTAATTTGTTTTTTTTGTGATTTCTTTTTTAAGAAAAGGCAAAAATTGTTCTTTATTAGGAATGTTTTTTTTTTTAATTATTTGTTGTAGTTTTGTGTGTGTTTTTAATTAAATTCCCTTTTATTGTTGTTGTTTATTGTGTTGAGTTAAAATTAAAGCTTTTTGTTAAAAATTGAATTATTTTGTTTGAAATTATAAATTAAAAACGAAACGAAAACTAAGGCTTAGTCTTGTTGCATAGAAGAAAGCTATAGAAAAAGAGTCTAGAGCCGGGCATGGCAAGATGTTTTAGGTGGATGTAGAGTAGCAAACCAGCAGGATTAAAAGAAATGCAATTTAAAAATAGTTAAATATGAAATTATGGAGAATCCAGAAGGTTCAAAGGAAAAATAATCATAGTTGTACTGGATGAACGCATTGAAAGCCTGAAAGGATAACGATTATAATTATTTTCACTAAGAATCATATATAAAAAAATTAATTAAATGTCAAAGAACATATTTATATTTACTCAGAATCTCAGAAACGAATATATTTTACAGATCAGTCAGATCCACCCTGATTTCATATTTTAAAATGTAAAAAATCGTGATTGTGAACCTAATATTTTTAATTTCGTTTAGAATTTTTATTTAAGAAAACACAAATTATTCTCTGTTTGACAGAAATTCCAAATGATAGTCATTTTGGTTCGATAATAGGGCTGGGATTTTAAAATTATCTAAAATGGAAGCTACGTCAAAATATTTTCATATAATGAAGAAGTTCCAAGTTTCGATACAGGTAGAATTTCGAAGTTCCGTTATATAGTAGTATCGAAGTCGTGGGTAGCTTTTTAATACCAAACATTAAAATTGACCGTCATTTCCACAAGCCTACATGACAGACCGCCCATCATACAATGGAAGGGGGTAGGCATTGTAAACATTAGGAGTGGTCTTATTAAATTAAATGACAATTTGAAAATATTCCAATAAGTTCCAATAACAAAATACTTTTTTATTACACGATCACAACTAAACCTATGAAATCAAATTTGTAACAGGAGACAAATAATTTTACGAAATAAGCCGTTCCTCAAGATAGACCAATGATTTGTTTCGAGAGTATACACAGAATCGCTTTCTGAGTCGGTCGTATTTATTATCCGATTAAAATGAAATTTGGCGCTGCTCATTTATTTTTCATACAAATTGTAGATATAGACCCCAAGTCTTCCCGATTGGCATAACATTTTCCATAGATTTGGTTCTTATATCTGTGTAGATCACATATTCGAATTTTGAACTTATCTTACTGGTTATATCCTACGCCATGAGGTTGACATTCGGTGGACATACTTGGAAAATTGAGCAACAACCTTGAACATACCGAAAATGGCGCCCGACTATCGTTTGGAGGATATGTAAAACATGGAGTTATATCAGGGCACACCGATATTTATACGATTTCATACCCAATGAGAACCCAAACTTTTAAATTAGAGCCAACATAATTGAAGAACATATTTAAAATCCTCAAAATAAGAAAAATTCGGGCACCATTTTATGGGCACTATACCTGATTTTTTATATATATGTAATTCTAAATAATTCGGATGGAAATAATGTCTGAAATAATCAAAATTGATATGAATACTTGGCACCCAATGGGATCCAAATATATTAGGTTGGGAAAAAAGAAATCCATTATGAAAATGTCGATAAAATCGGAGTAATGATCGAAGTTGACCGGCATGTTAGCAGTCGTAACATCGCCCAGGAGCTAAAAATCTGCATTAAAACTGCCATTTACACACATCTAGATTCAAAAAGAACCTCGACTACAACGATTTCGTCTGAAAAACGCGCTCAATATCCCAAAATACTGTAGAAGGGTACTCTTGTATATGGCATATCCCCCAATATAGTCAATCTTCGAACTTGACCTGCAGGCAAGACATTTTTATGTAAAATTTTGGCGATCTATCTCAATTCGTTAGAGTGATTACAACAGAGATTACAGAGAGATGTTAGAGTGATTACAACAGACACACGGTGTGACGGAATGTTTAAAGGGTAATAGAATTTTATGCTGATCAAGCTATATGGAGGCTACTTGGTCTAATAATGAACATTTTCTACCTACTGAGAATCCAAAATATAAAATGACACCGAATTATTTTGCAACCCGTGACGAATATTGATAATATTTGGTGTGAAGATTTGGCGCCCAATGAAAGGCGACCCTAGGTTAATATTAATTTTAGTTAGGAAATTTTGTTTACAATGAGATTTTAAATTATGAAATAAAATCCAATTTAAATGATAATCGTGTCCAAACTCCCCAAAATACCGAAATTTGGGATTTATCAATGTATAAGGTTTTATCTAAAAATCAGATCAATATTGGCAGGAAGATTCGCTACTTAATAGAGATGCAAATTACAGCAAATTCGGTAGAAAAGCATACCAAAAATCCTCAAAGTATTTAATTTTTTGGTGTACCATTATTTGAGTTCTATACGAATTTTGAACCACATATATTTCATTTTCAATAACAGTAACAGTTAGGAGTAGTAGCAAAGTATGAGCAAAATTGATCAGCCTAACCTTAAATGAACTCAATAGCAAGACTGACAACATCGAAATAGAATTTTATGAATCAAGAATATATATAATTTATGAAGTCTGTGGTATATATATCGAGAAGTAGTAAATGGAACGATAAATTAAATAAACACTCCTCTTTAGTGTAAAAATGTACATTCTGGAATTTCAAACAATATTGCAGATACTCTCTTAAAAATAAAAATTCAATATCAAAGGAAGTAAATCACACATTTCTCGAAAAATTACAAAAATGTGTCAATATTTTAAACTGTATTGGAGATAATAATTTATTAAATATGCAGAATTTAGTAGTTTAAAAGAACTATACTTTATTCAGTATCCAATGCTAAGACGAAATTTGGAAGATATAATTTTAGAAATAATTTTGTTAGAAAATTCTTCATCCTCCCATTCACTCATCCGCCCTAATCTAATATGCCATGCCCATGAACTATTTGTTTTTTTGTTTTATTCTTTAAGACTATCAAAAAGTGGCGAAATGGCAACACAGTTGCCTGCTGCCACATTTCTGACTATATAAAAACACCTTAGATTTGTTGTTGCTGTTGGTTTTTTCAGTTTTTTGTTATGTTCGGCTCAATTTCTTTCAAAATTTGTACTAGAAGTCTTACGAATGCGTTCTTGTCTTCGACAGTGTACCATGATGACTTGATGGCGGTGGTGGAGGTATCTGTATAACCGGTAATGTTCCTGACAATTGAGGATTGGTAAATGCCACTGCCCGTTCTTTCTTTGAAATCGATGAGAACGGCCTTAAGCGGATGTAGAGAACTGCAGAAATAAGACACGATGTTACCAAAATGCCCAGCAGTACGATTAGGGTTATCGCAAAACCAGGCGTAGTCATGCAAATGAGACCATCTTCTCGGGCTGGGAAGACCATTGTTTGGGCTGCAGCTGTTGCGGTGGCATTGGCATTTTCATCGATGGCAAATGTCAAATCACCCGACGACACAACTTTGATGATACGATTCAAACCCACTTGCGGTTCATTGGGATCGACGGCACGAGCACGACGCTGAACACGACGTTCATCTCTTCGTTTACCAATGGAACTGCCTACGTGATAGGTGTCGACATGAAGTTGTGGTGGTGGTGGGCCATATTGTGACTCGGGACCGACTTGTAGGTGATGAACTTCTTGAAGATTGGGGTCAGAACACTGGTCAGGACACTGATAACGACAAATTTGTATGGTACACTGGAAGTGCACTTCCATGGAGTCTGGGAATTTGAAGGCTTGGAAATGGGCATAAGATAACACCGAGGCGGAGGCTCCGAAGTTTTTGATTTTCGTAAAACGAGACATTAGCTTGGGTCGAGTAACACAGCCCCGCTGATCCACCAGCTGTATGGGTGCACGTTTACCATCATGGGCTACACAATTTCTTACCAACATATCGAACTTAGAATCGTCATCTTTAATGGCCAACACCATGGTCATAGTTTGACCAATCTTCACCAGACCAGAAACTTCGGAAGCCCAAGGTCCTTTGCCCACTTGGATTTGCATCCAACAGCCTACATTGTCACCAGCAAAGTCCGCCCTCACCACATCCAACATATCGACTGGGAATGGTCGGAAGGTTACACTCTTTTCGTATTGATCATGCCAGGTGCATCGCAGCTTGCGGGCCTGATCCCATACCTCTTGAACCTGAGGATCGTATTGGATGACAATGATGTTTTCGAAATATGTACCCGATCCAGATTCATGACCATAACCGTAGAGTCCATTTTCTGTATTACCTGAAGTACCACACTCATGGAGACCAATATCGAAAGTGGCCGAGGCACGTCCCAGGCCTGATGGCAAATGGACACAGTTCATATTGCTGTAATGACCCTTGGAGAATACAATGCCATAGAAGGGTTTGTCGAACTGTACGAACACTTTCATGCCGTTCTTTTCACATTTCACATCGAGGGAAATAATTTTGGCCATATCCTGCACGGGAGATGACCAAATTTCATTGGTACTGGAAGCGCCCACACTTAAATCGGGTAATGCTTGGGGTACATGCACCGGAGCTGGTGGTGGTCTCTGAGGTGGTAATGGTGGTGGTGGACCCTGATAGGCCAGTTGTGATGGAGGTGGTGGTGGTCCGAAAGGTTGACCCAATGCCAACGGTATACCTTGATTATTGCCTGTAATTACATAAAAGGTGGCTATTATTTACAAAATTATCACAGTTCTTCGGACTTAATCTTAAACCAATTTCTTACTTCGGGCCGGACCTGGTCCCTGTGGTGGTGGCTGCTGTTGCATATTGTGTTGGTAGTGGACTTTTTGTGGCTGTTGTTGAGGCTCCGGCTCGGATTCCAATGCAACTTGATCCACTTCATTATCGTGATCGGATATTTCTTCGTTGCCTTTGACCACCTCACCATCATCGGCTAAGGCAATCTGAAAGGAGATGGAATAGAGAGAGAAAATATTATTAGATCATAATGAGGCAAATTATCGAAAGACTAACAGAGATATAAATGTGGATCTTATAAAGTACTTTACCAGGTATTAGACAATTTTTAGGTAGTGCATTTTGTAAAAAATATTTTTCAAGGACTGGCGCAGGCATGCTTTTCTTAAAGAATAGTTTTTTTTCAAGGGCCAAACAATCGGTGGATTTTTTAAATACTATTTTTTTCAAGGTCCTGACAAGTCAAGGATTTTTTAAACAATATTTTTTTCCAGGACTATCCGAGGTTTGGATTTTTTAAGAAATATTTTTAAAAAAATATTTTTTCGAGGACCAGCCAAGGCGTGGATTTTTTAAAGAATATTTTTAAAGACCAATCAGGGCGTGCATATCTTAATGAATATTTTTTCAATGACCATACCAACTGTAGATTTTTTAACGAATATTTTTCAAGGACCATACCAAGCGTGGATTTTTTAAAGAATATTTTTTCCAAGGAGAAAGTATTGTTTGCACAATCCGCATCTCTCAAAAGTTATTCACATGGCAATTGAATGACCATTCCGTCCATCCACATCCTCGTGATGATGACCGCCATTATTATTGATTATCAACTTTTAATCAAATTTTGCTTACTTTCTCAATATTCCCACGCTTTTGTGAAACCCTTTCATTTTTTGGTCTGCGGCATCACAAAGAAAGAATTCACATTGAAATTGAAAACTTGTTTTATAATTTTTTTTTATTTTGCTCCGCAGAATATATTTCCCATTGAATGCGAATAACTTTCATTTGTGCAGAGATTCCTTGGAACAAACAACCTGTTTCCATGAAAGCTGTTAAAATGTCCAATTTTTACACACAGCCAAATGTCCTAAATTAGTTTCGGTCGCCTCTTTTTCGACATCAGCGAATGAATCAAATATTTCAAAATATTTCAAAAATTGCATTTAATTTGGAAATCTGCAAAATTTTGTTAAACCAATTAAGAAGAATGCGAGATTTCAATGGAGGTGCAAATATTAAGTCGATAAACTTTGTGTTGAAATTCGAAATTTACAAACGGTGATTAAGGCTGTGTGTTGTCCAAAAATATAGAACGACCAGATTTAGAAAATGAAAATAGAACAAAAAAAAAAAAATAAATATATATATATATATATATCTTGGTCCAAATGTGGCAGATAAGACTGGCTTTTTGGAAATCCGTACTAGAACGGTACGAAAATTCGAACTATAACTATCCGAAAAGTACGAAAATGTACTAAATTTGTTACAAATTCGTAGCATGTGAACGGATAGCGCAAAAATTGGAAATTGAAATTTGGAGTGTGAATTAAGATTGAGAAGTAGGTTCCATTTTAAGGAGATGGTTTTGAAAGCGTGTGCTCATGTGTACGAAAAGTAATATATAGTACTCTATTTGGTGCAAATTTATTTTGGAGGTACAAATCGAGCTGGAATCCTATAATTTGAAATTAACATTACGGAGTGTAGGATTGGGATATGTACGTAGTTTTGGAAATTTTTTACTGATGTGTACGAAAAGTACTAAATCGGACTATAATTGACACAATTTGGATTTGGATGAACCGATAAAGCGGAAACAATGAGTCAGGATCACTGTAGGGGTGTAGAATTGGGGTCAAGAGTCAGTGTAATCAATTTATATTCATTGGTACTAAATGGTACTAAATTTGTTACAATTTTAATTTTAGGCGAAGAGCTAGAATCATGAAATTTGGAGTGATGATCACTGTTGTAAGATCGAAATATGTAGGAAGTTTTAAAAATTCGTACTAATGTGTACTAAATTTGAAATAAGTTGAATTGTGCGTGAACCGATAGAGTTGCAATCCTGAAACTTGGATTTAGGATCACTGTGGGAATGTGATTTGGTGCATGCAAAAAATTTTGGAAATTAGTCCTACTGTGTACTAAATTTGGTACAATTTGAATTGTGGGGAAATGTATATAATTGGAATCCTGGAAATTGGATTTAGTATCACTGTGGGGTCGAAAGTTTGGGGTAAGAAGGAGACTTTGGAAATTGGTACTACTGTGTACTAAATTTGGTACAATTTTAATTGTCGGCGAACCGATAGAATTGGAATCCTGAAACTTGGATTTAGGATCACTGTTGGGGTGTAGGATAGGGGTATGTAGGGAGTTTTGGAAATTGGTACTACTGTGTACTAAATTTGGTACAATTTGAATTGTGGGCAAATTTATAGAATTGGAATCCTGAAATTTGGATTTAGGATCACTGTGAGGGCGAAGATTTGGAGTAAGTAGGAGGCTTTGGAAATTGGTACTGCTGTGTACTAAATTTGATACAATTTGAATTGTCGGCAAACCGATAGAATTGGAATCCTGAAACTTGGATTTAGGATCACTATTGGGGTGTAGGATTGGGGTATGTAGGGTGTTTTGGAAATTGGTACTACTGTGTACTAAATTTGGTACAATTTGAATTGTGGGCAAATCTAAAGAATTGGAATCCTGAAATTTGGATTTAGGATCACTGTGAGGGCGAAGATTTGGGGTAAGTAGGAGGCTTTGGAAATTGGTACTACTGTGTACTAAATTTGGTACAATTTGAATTGTGAGTGAACCGATGGAGTGGGAATCCTGAAACTTGGATTTAGGATAACTGTGGGAATGTGGGTTTGGGTTATGTAGGAAGTAATGGAAATTCGTACTATTGTGTACTAAATTTTGTACAATTTAAATTGTGGGTGAACCATAGACTTGGAATCTTAAAATTTGAATTTGGAAGTTTTGTTGGATGGTTGAGGAGGGTACTCTTGGAAATAATGCGTGCTAAATTTGGTACAATTTGAATTTGGGTGAACTTTAGAGCTCGAATCATGAAATTTGGTACTATAATGGTACTCAAATTTAATTTATGGTCGATATTAATGTGTGGATAGCTTAGTTTTTCTAACATATGCAGTTTTCTGTGAAAATAAAATAATATGTTAATACTTATTTAAATATATCCCACATTCGTTATGGAAGTAGCGGACATATGCTAATTCAAAATATTTCCTTAAATAATCATCTCAAAAATCATCATCAGAATCTTATTTTTGTGCACATTCAATTGAGAGTGCTTTCAAATTTTCATAAACTCTCAGTTTTAGGTTATATAATTCTTCTCCAATTTTTATAATAATACCACACATTTGATTCAAAAAAATTTTTAGAAGTTTTAAAGATATTCAGTTAGAACATCCGTATATCTATTGTTTAAAGTCTATCTATTGTTTCTATTGTTTAAAGTTCTCCATAGGTATATGTTATCTACTATATAAGTTGGGTTATTGAAGATTCCTTCCATCCCTAAAATCTCCTTATAAATCTCTTATAATAAATTTAAATTTTATTAATCAGTATTCGAACACCTTTAAATCGGTAATATACAAAGGGAAGCAGGTACCTTTCACATTCCTTCTCAATTCTACGATTTGTGCGACATATTAAAATTAAGAAAGGAATAAATGAAATAACTTCGATTTCACCAAAGAAGTGACAAACAAAAACAAAACAAGAATTCCGCTGGGATGAAATTAAAAGTAAAATACAACTACAAAAACAATCTTAGCCAAATACAGCCACACACACGACCACAATGCGAAAGTGACCATGGCCGTGACGCTTATGGCTTATACAAATTGTTTTTGCTGATCATTTTGTTGTTGTGGCAAAAAAAAAGCAAGGGTACTACAACAGTGTGAACAAAAAGTGATCATAAATTTTCAAAAGCTGTTGTTCGTCGGCACAGATACAACAATTTTATGGCAGATGCATGCCATTTGTAAGGCATGTGCCGGTAATACCAACAAACCAACTCGTCGTCGTGGTCTCGTCAATTGGTAGTGTAAACTTGTTATACGCTTTGAGCTGGTGATGATTTAGAGGGGCTGGCTGGCTAACTACCTGTCTGTGAATATGCAACGATGTGTGTGTGTGTCTGTATATCTGTCTATCAGCCAGATTGTTGTTAGCATGAATGAAGCTTAAAAATAGGGCAACAACTTTTTATGGTTTTCTTATTGGCGTTCGCTGGTTTGTACGCATTTCGGGGTGCTCTCAATAGGCGACACAATCAAGGTCCGCATACATGCGTACATACAGCGCTCACATTATCGGGCGATCTACAGCAACCGCAGCAGCAGGATCTGCTACTTTGCTCACAATCGACAGCCAACAAATATTATGCATTTGTGTCGCCGTGTAAACTCCGCTTCTAGAAGAGGAGTGGTCTGGCCAGTTGTAATGTGCGTTTGTCCGTTCCATTGCAATTGTAACAATGTCCCCACATTGGAATTGGAATATGTTGGATGGCTGGTCTCGGCCTGGCACTTGATTATGCGGATTTATTTCAAATAAAATTTAAGGAAAGCAAAAAAACCTCAATATTTACGACCACAACTTTTACTTAGAGTTGTCTTACTTGTCTGAAGTTATCTGAGTGTCTGTCCGACAAGCATCCAATTTTGGTCAAATTTGGCAGCAACAGCAAAAAAAAAACTTGTTTACGGAAACCAAAATTTATATGCGAAATTTCTTGAAAAATATCAACCAGCCACCTTAGGAGGACAAGAAACAGAAAAAAAAATAAATGACAAAGATAAGAGCCAAGGATCGCTGAAAAAGATCATCAGTATTTTCACTTTTTGTTTCTTGTCGCAGAAGGCCTTCGCATATTTCCTCTTTCTTTGAGTTGGAGAAATTTTGAGATTGGGGTTTTCCCTTCTTCTTCGTCATCTTAACTTTTGAGACTAATTTAATCGATAAACGCTGTTTTAATTAACCATCTTCAGCTGGCGGGTTGGCGGTAAAGTCGCATTCTATATTTTTTAGTCAAGATTGAGTTACATTCCCACGCTGCATGGCCGGCTGGCTTTGGATTAAGAAGAACAAGTTTTTCTTTCCATTTTGTTTAAGGCATTTCATTTTCATATGACATTAATGAGAAGTT